ACAAGCACAAGACGGTCAGGAAGGCTCTTTGGGTAGAGCACAATGAATCCCAAAAGTTGAAAATGCTTCAGCTCTGTGAAGAAAAGAGAAAGCGTTTAGGGCAAAAAGCACAAGAACAAAATGGGAAAACATTTGACAAGCCCCAGAGATTGAAATCTTTCGAAGACTGATGTCGCTGGGTACTGTGACACAGGGAGAGTGGCGTGTGATAAAGTTGGAGGAGTAGGCAGTGAACAGAGATGCCTTGTTCTAGTGCAGGTCCCTAGGAAACACACTCTATGACAGCGATTTTCATATAGGAATTTTTTTCTGAGAAGTGTTTTCAATAACAAGTGTAAGATAGTGAGACAAGCACAACTGAGCATACAGAGAAGTTGAATGGGCATGTACTGTGTATATGTCATATATCATAGATCATATATATCACGGATCATATGTATCATAGGAAATGGGTTGCATGATTCGGAGAGGAAAAAACTGGAGCGTTATGCACTGGATTTTACGTGCTTTGGCTTAAAAGCAAAACAAGTCACTCCTGCGCACAGCCCGTTGACTAGAGTGGTAATTTGGCCCTACTTAGTTGCATGGGACCTGAAAAATGTGTAAAAAATAGATGGAATGTTTGGTGAGTTATGCCCTCCATACAGGAGATAAAAGAAGTATTCCATATAATCAGTATCTATCTACATTGCCTATTGTAGCTTAATAAAGGTATCAATAACATTTTTATGTGTCTCTACATGTGAGATTAGCATTAAAAAAATAACCACGTGTATAAGTAGAAACTCAATACATATCTGTTGAATAAATAATCTCAATGTTGAATTGAATAACACTCCATGTATATTCATTTTGTATCAATTTTTATCTATATTGTTATTTCAACACTATTCAGATTTCCTCCAAATGGGTCCTCCTTGCAAAGTTCTGTTCCTCAAATCTTGAATTAACTGAAATATATGTTTTAATGTTCCAGCATCAAATGAATGTCTGAATAATTTGGTAGAAGGAAGATGATGAATAAGTACATACTGTTTCTGCAAGATGATCATCTCTTCTTTTAGAAATATTACCTACATAATATCTATTCTGTTTTTATTGTACTCTGCCTGAGTGAACTACCATATTTATTTCAAATAGTATATTCAGAGACAGAAATATTACCAACAGCTTTCTTTATGATCGTTTTGGCCTTACCCTGGGGTAAACTAGGGTCAAATTTCATTTATCACTTGACAACTATGAAGCTTATTCTGATCAATAGATTCCAATGGCATCCAGCTCATATATCTAAACAGCAACAGGTTCCAGAGCAAAGGCTGGAAGGGTGCACATCTGTTCTACAAAACAACATATTTCCTGAAAGCTATACACAGTCACGTTATTTGCCTCTTTAAGTATAGGCAACACTAATTTCAGATGATAAAGCAGAATAGAGTTTTCCTAAGTGAAGGTGGGATAGGGGATTGGAGGGGAAGATGAGGGAGATTTGGCGAATCAGGGTAAGAGTCACAACACTCAGGCATTAAAAAAATATATAGCCTTGGTTTCCCAGATCTAGAGAAGTTTTTCTCTCTCTTTTTTTTTTTTTTTTTAATATTTTATTTACTTATTTAACAGAGAGAGAGAGAGCACAAGCAGAGGGAAAAGCAGGCAGAGGGAGAGAGAGAAGAAGTCTCCCCACAGAGCAGGGAGACCGATGCCATGCGGAGCTTGATCCCAGGACTCTGGGATCATGACCTGAGCTGAAGGCAGACGCTTAACCAACTGAGCCACCCAGGTGCCCCAAGAGAAGTTTTTCTATGACATGAAGTAGAATGCTAGGGAGTTGCTCAAAGATATATGTGGAAGGAAATGATGGAAATTGCTTGGGAGATGGAAAAGTTTTATATCTTATTTGAAGTGATGATTGCTTGGGTATATACATTTACAAAAACTCATCAGTTGCATGCATATAAGAGCTGTGCATTTCATCCTGTGTAAGTTTTTTTTTTTTTTTTTCTCAAAACAAAAATACAATGTAGCTTCTTTGGAAACGTCAAAAATTAAACTACCATAAAAAATGTGAAAGATGCAGTGATAATGATTCCTACAGCATTTTCCATTTAATTCTCCAGTAGCATAAGTGCAAGACTGAAGGTATTGAAGAATAATTATCAGAAATAACAATAGTGTCAGAATTGGTATTTTCTACTAAGCAAATTATTCCAGTCCCTAGCAGTTAGTGTAAGTTATTCCAAAGCAAAATGATCTAGTTCTTAGCACCTGATATGCATCTATTCTTCTGGAAATGGATTTTTCTTTTTTTGTTCCTCTGATAACAATCAACTTCAAAAGGAGTTTGCTTTCATCTGAAATATGTCTTGCATTGTCCAAAATTTATTCACATAGACTTTGACTATATAACTATTTCAAAGAGTTACACTGTTACACTGCTTTGAGCTAGTAAGAACTAGAACATAGAAATGGACAGGTACTCTGAATGTCTTGGTAGTTACACACATGTAAAGAGGGTTAAAGATAAATTATTTGAAATTTCAAAAACCTGCTGCATTAATAAAATCTTATGTTAGTGTTCTAGGGACATTTTTGCATATTCTCTCAAAATTAAAGGAAACTGTGTATATCTTCTACATACTTTTACTAAGATCCCATCTCTGATACCTTCATAATTCACTTGCCAGTTTTGAGTGAGCCATGCAAGGAAATTCTATATATTGCATGCTACAGTGCAAGTAACCCTTCCTATTGGCTCTTAAGGCTTTGCAGATTCAATTGTCCTTGAGAGTTTGTGGCAGAAAGAGATGCGATATGGACTCTGAAGAAAACTAGAGAAACAAAATCATAACATCAGTCCCTTACGTTTGGAAGCAAAGCCATGCTCCCTTTTTGTACAAGTAACTCTCCTTTGAGAACATCACTCCTCTCAGTGATACAAAAGGAACAAACATATAAATAAATAAAGTTTGTCCAGTAGCTTGAGAGAGTCTATTTCATTGGAACAAATTAGGTCATGGTCACATCTCTGAATTAAATACAGGCTGGGAAATTAAGCATTTTGATTAGCCATTTCTGAATCACATATGCCCTTGGAGCTTGGAGGCAAGTATAGAATCACCTGTTGCCAATGGAAGCCAAATCAAACATAGGCATAAGTGAGTGTTAGCATTAGCAAAAAAAATTAAAAAAAAAAAAAGGTAAATCTGCTGCAGTTTTATATTTACCTATCATTGCACCTTCTCTGATTGGTAAGACCCAAAGTCATAACTGGAGATGTAAAATTGTGCCTGAAGTTGGAGTATGTCCTTTTTATTAGTTTAAAGGTTAAAGGTAAAGAAACTCTACCACAGGCATTCACAATGCTAAATATTTAAAGAAAATTTCCACCCACTTTTCATCCTTTTCTTAACTCTAGGCCATACTATTACTTTTCCTTCTTTTTTTTTTTTTTTCCAGAGAAGTGAGGAACATTGTCCACGTGTGTTCTTTTATCATTTCCCCATCTCTTGTCCCGCCAATCTCCCTCTTCTGATGGCAGTGGTGTGGGACAACAATGAGAATGGGTCTTGTCCTCACCCTGGCAGATACTTCAGGATAATTTGACAGGTATCTACACACCTTTTGTAATTCCAAACACATGAGATACAATAGGCATGGAATGTTATTGACAATGTATCTTTCATATTTTCTTTTTCTGATTAACTTGTGGATTTCTTTGACTAGTTCAAAGTAATATAGATGTAGGGAGTACAAAAAAAGCTAAATATATAATCAAAGCATAAAGATTTAAAAATTCCATCACTTCATTGAAATTTATGGAGAACATAGTAATTATTTTGATTATAATTATAATTGTGTTAATTACAATAATCTGTACAAATTTTTCTAAAACCCAAAATCAAACCAAGAAATATCTTGTGCCTGATAAGATAGCTTTATTTTAACTTTAACTATTTCAAAGACATCTTCTAATACCTTTGTAAAGTATAATTTTTGTTTGTGAAAAAATCTCACAGTCTTCACAAACACTATAGCTTTATTGCTGTACATGGTCAATTTAACAGAGTAACTTAAAATTCTTCTCTTAAGGTATGATTCTTTTTCAAGCATTTAGGAGTACAGGATAGAAATAGAATGAACAAAGTCTCCTTACTTTCATGTTTTTATACCTAGAGAATAGGTTACATTATATATGAAATCAGGCATATCCACAGACTGGGGTGGAAGCTAATAGGCAATAAGATGATAGGAAAAAGTTATTTTTAAATAACAGGAAGCTTTGTTGGTACTGAGTAACATTTATTTTAAAGAGGAAGAAACACTCTAGATTGATTTTATTTTTTTTTATTTTTTTAAAGATTTTATTCATTCATTTGAGACACAGAGATACAGAGAGAGAGAGAGAGAGCATGAGCAGGGAGAGAGGCAGAGGGAGAGGGAGAAGCAGGCTTCCCGCCGAGCCAGGAGCCCGACGTGGGGCTGGATCCCAGGACCCTGGGATCATGACCTGAGCCGAAGGCAGACGCTTAACTGACTGAGCCACCCAGGCGCCCCTCTAGATTGATTTTAATAGCTGGGAGAAAGGCATGGGGAAAGGTTGCAGGAGATCAGCAGGAAGGAAATGACTGTTGATGAAGTTCGTTCATTCTATTAGGCTTAATCTTCCTTATTCCACTTCATTTTCTCAGGAACATTTTGAGGTTGCTGTTATTCAATATTTATTTCATGAAAGCTAACTCTGAGTTAAGTAACTTCCCCCAAAGGTTTCAGAGTTAGAGTGGTCAGAATCAAGAAACAAATGGTGAGTGCATTATTGCATTCACAGCTAGCCCCAAAGTTCCTTGTGAGGGAGAATTTTCTTGTTAAGGAAAATGTTTTTATGGAGTCAATTAGGGTAGAAGACCATGGCCTCTGGGAGTACATGGAGGCAGGAGCTCAAACTGCAAAAGAAAACAAAAAATTTAAACAACAGCACTTTTCATTAAAAGAAATAAAATTGAGTGCCCACTTGGGCAGCACAGATACTGAAACTGGAAGGATACAAAGAAGATTAGCATGACCCCTGCACAAGGATGACACCCAAATTCATGAAGCATTCCATATTTTTTTTTAAAAAACAAACCAACAAAAAATAAAATAAAATAAAATAGAATTGGGGGATCACTATTTTGGTATGCTCATGAAAGGAAAGACAAAAAAAAAAAGGAAAAGGAAAAAAAGAAAGACTGAAAACAGTTTTTATAAAACTAGGCTCTATATGACCTAAAATTCAAAGAGAAGTCCCAGGGTAGACAAAGAAACTTTGAGGAACAAGAATTCTGAATGCAAAGTAATTTTGCCTTGTATTCCTTAAATCCTCAGTCAAGACTGATGAAAACTTGGTCAGGAGAGTTTTGCTGAAGGGGCACCTGGGTGGCTCAGTTGGTTAATCGTCTGCCTTTGGCTCAGGTCATGATCCCGGGATCCTGGGATTGAGTCCCACATCGGGCTCCCTGCTCAGCGGGAGGCCTGCTTCTCCCTCTCCCTCTGCCTGCTGCTCCCCCTCCTTGTGCCCTCTCTCTCTTTCTCTCTGTCAAATAAATAAATAAAACCCTTTAAAAAAAGAGAGAGTTTTTTTGTAGTTATTCTGGTGGGTTGGTGAAATATGAACATGGGTCTAGATTTCAAACCTGGAAGACATGTGTGAAGCAAGCACACCTATGTGATAGGAAAAGCCTGGAGTTTGAGACTCCTCAGTTCACAGAATTTTTTCTTCTTGTCAATTCACCTAGATCTTAGTCATAAAAGATTATCTAACACCTCTCTTTCATTTGACTTGTTTTCTTAGCTGAGCACTAAAGAAATAACTTACAGGAAAGCACAATTTAGGTAAATTTGGTCTGAAATATTACTAAAAACTTCTGGAAATTTAGCGTGAAATAGTGAAAATCCAGATGAATGTATTTTTTTAAAGAAAGAAAATGATGCAGTTCTATTGGTTTAAAACACATATTAAATTAAAGCGTCTCTAAGCAGAGACTATGTCAGCTTGTTTCAATAAATAGATAAAATAAATTTGTAATTAGGAGCATCTGCTTGGTTATAAACACACATATGTTGTAGCCCATTAACTGAGTTTATTCTCTTAAGTAACATGTTCCCTATAGTATTACTTGCAATTTGAGTCTCTTTAGAAAAACATTTCTAGATATATATTGAAGTTCTGCATTATGTAGTGGTTGAGACCATGGGATATATAGTGAAGAGAATGTGGTTCAAATCCTGGCTTAGCAACCTCATATTTATGTGGACGTGGGCAAATTTCTTACCTTCCCTGAGCCTTTGTGTGCTCTTCAAAACAGTGGGGTTTTGGCTATCTATCTCTGCCTAAGGAACCATCCCAAGCTTACAGATAAAAACAACAACCACTTTCATAAGTTCACAATTCCATGGAAGAGGAATTTGGTCCTGGGACAAGGGGCCTGTGGTCTCTGATTCCAGTATCTGGTACCTGTGCTCTGGCATTTGACTGGGCTTTAGTGGTTTCACCATGATTATCCTGCCATCTTAATGCTCCTTGGCCTCTCTTTCTCCACGTGGTATCTCATCTTTCAGGATCTTTCTAAGTTTCTTGAGCTTTTCACAGTATAGAAGACTTAGGGATGTTGCAAATCCTAATAGGGACTGGTTTCCAGGAGACAGTAAGAGACAGAAAGTAGAAGTTGCTAGGCCAGTCAAGGGCTATATGAAATGGCACAGTGCCAGTCCCGTTGTGTTCTTTATTAGAGGATAGAGAGCCTGACCAGACTGAAGAGTGGAGAAGAGTTAGGACAATTTGATAAGGAATGGCAAAGTCATGTTGCAAAAAGCATGTCCAATGGGAGGTATGGTTCTGGCCACTTTTAAGAAATATAATATGTCACATGGGATAATGATGCCTATCTTGTAAGGGCTTTGTGAAGTTTAGAAGATGTATTGGGATCTGGCACACACTCAGCATTCAATAAATGGTGGCAGTTTATTAGATTGGACAGCTCAGTTTGGATTATCACAAATTCTCAAATAGTAAAATTGAAGTTAGGACTATTTGAAAAATATTGTGATTTGACCATAGTGCTAAATCAAAATAAAGAGAAAATTAAAATGACAGGATTCTAGTACAAAATGCATAAACCCACCACAATATTTATACAACTATTTTTACTAATGCCATGCATTAACACTGTCAACTCTTCTTTGTTGTTGCTCCAATCTCCCCAGCAAAGCAGAGGAGTGGCCCGTCCTGAAGCTACCCTACTTGGGGAATTGTTGAAGGGTCAGGAGATAGGGTGTGGTTGCACGGGGCTAGATTTCTACAGGAGAAAACTCAGGATGATGAGAACCAAGGAATCAGGAAATCCAAAATCCTCTGGGAAGAACCAGTTTTAGTTTTTATGACAGAAAAACTCCATATGCCAGTAACCAGAGACAGAAATTGAAGTAGGTGGTCATGGTGTGAGCGGTCTAACGTTGGCTTGAAATCGGTGTAGATACAGACACCGTAGCAGTGGTCGTGGTAGTGAGGTTGGGCCAATTGTTTTGAATAACATCAGGCTTCCAGACTTACTTATATTTGATTGAAGATACATTTCTCCCTCTTTTTTAAGACCAATAACCAAGTCTTATGCAGAAGTTGGGATGACACCTGAGCTGTTATAAATATTTGGCAAAATGATAGCCTCAGGGTTTAATCTATCATATGTATTAATATCAGATAAACTGTTCCTTTCAGTTTTGATTTATTTTGTGACCTCTTATTGATAATTTGTCAAAAGGACACCAAGCTGAAAGAACAAAAATGCACCTGACTAATGTGAACTGTTCTAACTCATCAGAGGTTGAAATGGTTGGAGTATGTTTATCTCTAAATTTTTCTGGTAAATCTGGGTAAAGGAAGGATATTTCAGGAGCGTGAGTCACACTTGTGTTTATATCAGTACCTACATTTTTACTTGCATTGGCTCGCCACAGACTTAGGGAAGTAAAGCATTATTTGTTTCCAGTTTAGTGCTAATGTACATGACTAATGCACTAATAAATATTGCAAGCAAATCAATTGTACTTCCTAATAGCAAGGTGAACAGCAATAGCATTTTATGCAAGATCATAGGAGATTGAACACTAAACCTGAAAAGGGATGATTCTAGCCCTGACGTTTCATTATTTCTTGGGATTTGTGCATCTCCCTTAATGTACAGTTAATGTAACTTGAGGTTATGAATCTTTTTTATAGTCTTCCTTTATATCTTTAAAGTAACAAATCTCAAGTTGTGACTATAGCAGAAAGCATTCACAGAATTCTGACCAGGAAACTAAACTAACTCACAAATTTTCATTCTTCCTGGGGAAAATGTATAAATTCTATTTCTTTTTCATTGGAATGTATACTTCGGGTGAATAATGTTTGACATATATTTATTGCTAGTAAAATTCTCAGAATCTGTCCCATTCAGTTCATTGTTTCTGCCAGGGAAGCATGGGGTTGAAATAACAAGAATAAACAATGGAAATATTGGTTTTAACAGCAAATGCAATATGATTGATCATCTCAGGACTCTCTGTGCCCACTGACTTGTATTCCCAGCATTATTTAAAATGGCTTAGCACCTTACATGACCAATCCTGTAAGGCAGTCAAAAGAATGGATTCTCCTCGGAGGTTTTGAAACATATACAAAGGAGCATTTTCCATTCATTTAAAATCTGAATGGGACTAAAATGTTCTTTCTCAGAAAAAAATTGTCATTTCCTTTTTTACATAAAATACACAAATATTTTTCCCTGTGGTATACAGACTTATTGACATTTAGGGCAACATCTGTGTGTGTGTGTGTGTGTGTGTGTGTGTGTGTGTATGTGTGTAGCCATTAAGTAAAAGAGTTCCTTTGAGCCCTATATCATTATTGTTGAAATCCATCAAAGATCAAAAGGGACACTCTTGCCCTTAAGCAAAGTCAGTTTTTGTTTAGCTCTCTACAGCAAGAGAAAACACACACCAGGGGAAATTGGGGGACATTTCAGGAAAAGGGAGTTGAGAGGACTTCTTCTAGGGTTTGGGGTACTATTCAGTAAGTTTGTGGAGCAATTAGACAAATAGGGACCTGTTCTGGCTTGGATAGTGTCCAAAAGTGGAGAAACATGTTGATTTGATGATTTAATAATTTTTATCCAGGTGGAAGGAGGACTAAGAGCAAGAAGTGGAGTTGGTAAAAACTAATCATTGCTCAGAAAGAGAGATTAGTCATGTTTGCAACTACATGATGGCCTTGACTATGTCCTGTGAGAAACTATGTTTATGTTCTAATGATCTGATTCTCAGCAGGGCCAATATTTACTTCTTCATTATATTGGAAAAATACAGAAAGAAATTTAGCTCACACTTGATCTCTTTCAGAAGTATGCATTTGTGAGAATTTTAAAAATCTTAAGAAAAACAAAATTAGAAATAAATCTGTTAGGAAACTTAGATCAAAACAATTAGATAGATAGATGATATATAGATAAGGATGTAGATAGATGTATAATATACAAGAAAGTATATATCTCTATGATATATACAGAGTGTCCCCAACTTGTAAAGGTTTGTCTTATAGTTTATGATGGTGGGAAAGTGATAGTCATCTGGTAGAAACTGTACTTCGAATTTTGAATTTCGGTCATCTCTTGGGCTGACGACATGTGGTATGATACTCCCTTGTGATGCTGGGTGGGGACAGCACTGCAGCTCCCAGTCAGCCAGGCGAGCACAAGTCCTTTACCCGGACTCACACATTGACAACCGTTCTGTACCCACGCAATCATTCTCTTTTCCGCTTCAGGACAGTAGACAATACATTACATCAGATAGTCAACACTTTATTATAAAATAAGCTTTGTGTTGGATAATTCTACCCAACTGCAGGCTAATGTAAGTGTTCTGAGTACATGTAAGGTAGGCTAGGCTAAGTTATGATGTTTGGTAAGTGAGGTGTATTAAATGCATTTGGACTTGTGATATTTTCAAGTTAGGATGGGTTTGTTAGGAGGTAACTCTACTGTAAGTTGAGAAGCTCTGTAGATATTATATGATATAGTAGATATCGATTATATA